AATCTGAGGAGCTGACAGCCTGTGGGAAGCCATTGTATCTGTGTAGCCACCAGTCCTGTGGGTGCACAGCAAAAGGTCTGTTGGTGGGCCCCGAGTTTCTGTTGGTCTTCAGGGCCAGTAATTGGAAAGGCAAGCTGGACACACAGAGCAAGGACAGGCTGGAATTTTCAGGACAAGCCGTACCTTTTTGACACTATATTTAACCACGTCAGCCTTCCAAGAATACAGGCTGTTGCTTTACTTCTTTCTGCCTTTCAGCCTCCTAACAAGTTCCCCTTCTGGCCAACTCTAGCGGGAAGTCTGAAGGGAGGGAGATTTTAGGAAACGTAGTCTCCAGCTTAAGCAGGTTGACATATACACAGGGGTGTGCAGTGGGTTAGCCATTCTCACGTGGGGGTTCACTTGTTTGGAAAGTGCCAGACTACTGATAGGTGCAGAGTAGTTTATAGATTGTGTTATGTAGTTAAAGAAGAGTTTCGATTTGGGGAAACTGACAGTTTCTTCAGTAGAAGCTTGAACATTAAAGCATTCTCAGAGCATGTAAGAACAAAAATAACTAGTAACACATAATCATTTATTTTACAAGTCTGCTTTATTTAATGCATGAGTTCTCTAGAGGTAGTATATCAAATGAACTTTTATAAATTGAACAGTTTCCTAATAAGTTACAGTACTAAGAATATGATAATTTCCAGTTGGTTTTTGATTGACATTGGCATACAATTTTGTTTTTAAATGTAGGTTTCTTGAGTTTTATTAGCATGATGTTGTCAAGGTCGTGGACTGAAGTCTAATGGGATGGTGAGACAGGCAAGATTCTTGTGGACTAAATTATACCACCAAGTTCCTGTAATTTTGAGGCAAGATAGGAAAGTGTACTTCTCTTCGTGCGCTGAAAGCCCACTCTGTCTGATGTTGTCTGGTTATTAGGTAGCAAAAAACACATTTGCTGTATCAGTACTTGGTCACCAAGTCTCAGCGGCTGTGAGGATTGGTCCCAGGTCACGTCTGGAACAGTAGGTCTAATTAGGTCCGCCATTACATTAGGTTTGTGATAATCTGTGATATTTTCCAGGACCCTTATGGGTTCTGCTTGGTTTAAATGGGTAGGTTAAACCGCCCGTAGAACCATATACACAAATACACACTTCACAGCATCTTTCAAGTTTTCGATGGTGGGACCCATTTCTGTGGTTTGTGCAGATGTGCAGTAACCCTTTAATCTTTTTTAAATGGGGGAGGAATCTTCAGGAACTTTCCCTTGGCCCTTGATTCTGCCATAGCACTCACTGCGGGCTCTGCTGGTTGTTGATATTTCTAATTCCCCTCTACATTCAGGATTGAGTAGGTCAGAGACATCCTAGGCCTACCATGGAGAGACTGACTTCCATCAACCCTCTACCTCGTCATGGTGGTGTTCTGGGTCCCAAACGATTAGCATTAACTGACAGCTAATCAGCCCTGAAAGGTTATTTCTCTTTCCCCAGGATACTATTACCTGGTAAACCGTCACAATTACTCCTTTGGGGAAGACTGGGCAAGAAGGGTTATGGTGTATATTTACTGTTACTCTGAGGCTCTGAGTGTGTGAAGTGACCCTGGGACAGGAATCGGGAAAGACGGTGTTTCAGCCTGGTGACTCAGGCCACACATCTGGTCTCCGTGCCTGGATGATGGTCGTGTCTTCTTTCTTCCTCCTCCCTGTCCTCCCCCTCCTCTTTTCAAAATACAGATCAAGTTTGAATTTAGTTGTCTGTCCATCTAATTTGGTCCTAAGTCTTCATGATCAGCCACCACCTGAGATCCATGCCGGCTGCACTGTTCTAATCATCGCTCTGGCTGTGCCTATTGCAAATAAGTGCACTCATCTTGCTTCCAGGGTTGAAGCCAGTCTCATTACCTTGTGTTCTAATCATCGCTGCTGAAATCAGGAAGCTCGTTTCAATAGAGGCATCTTCAGGTTTTTCTCCCAGCTCACGTGGGACACCTGTAGTACTATAGCACTTCCAAGGATGCTGGGCCTTCCATACCTCATTTATTTCTCACAGCCTGGGTACTCATGGGGGACATAGTTAGGGGTTTTGAGTGATAAATTAACAATGACCTTTTTCTTCTCAGATGTCAGATTCTTTCCTCCACATGACACCAAGGAATTTCTGACATCTGAACTTTAGTTTTGGCCATGTTTGAGTCAAGGTCTTAGTCAAGCAGTTGAACAAATGGCATAGTGCCATCTCCAGCTGCTTGAGTTAGCACTGTGAATTGAACATTTCTGATGAGCATCTAAATTCAGCTGATTTAAAATTATGATCCTCTTCTCCCATGGTCTAACACCCGTAGACTCTCTTTTTCTACACCGTCCCAAGGTTTTCCCTCTAGAAGTTAACAATATTTTGCCGTTCTTTTTGTGTGTAAGTCTCTTATATGTCTGGAGGCCATGAGGGATAGAAGGGGTCGGGGATGAGGAGGACTGGCCTTGTCTTGCAAGGTGACTCCCCGAACTGTAGCCATTGCACGCTGTTCGAGCACGATGGTACCAGTCTCACCAGGGCCACCCTGGTCCTGGCACTCAGGAGGGTTTAGGGGTTTCTGTTAGCCGAGTCATCCCAAAGGTCCCCGTTTTAATCCTTCCTTCCTTCCTCCCCCCGACTCCCTCCCTCCCTCCCTCCCTCCCTCCCTCCCTCCCTCCCTCCCTCCCTTCCTCCCTTCCTTCACTCCTTCCCTCCTTCCTTCCTTCCACACTGGATTTATTTTGGGTCTTGTGCTTTCATTAATCAATGCCCTTCTTTGCCCTAACCCTCTTGCTTTAAACAACCGTTGCAGTTATTACTGCTATGTAACAAACCCTATCAACTTAGGTGGCTTAAAACAAGAGCAATAATTTATCTCTAATTGTTTCTGGGGAACAGAAATTTAGGAGCGACTTGACTGGCCACTTGTGATGTGAGAAAGGTGAGGTGATACAATATTAACTGTCAATGAATGTTGATAGATTGAAGATGCACAGGAGTGGTCCTAGAGCAATTATTAAAAAATAATAAAATGATGTGCAGCTAAAAGGCCAGAGAGGAACTAAGATGAATGACCACCACATGCTCGACTGACCCAGTCACATCCTAGCCTGTCACAGAGAACCGGTAGGACTGTAATTCAGCTGTCCTGCAGGAGCAGCGCCTGCGGTTGCTGTCTGGCTATACCAGCATGGCAGTCACGAGGAAAAAGAAATTCTTTTAGGCAAGCACAGAAATTCCCCGAGTGTCATTTTCTTTGTGTGAGCTGCGCAGTGAACTTTGAAGCGGCCAGCTGCCCTTCCAGTCCTGTGTTCCCTCGCAGTGTCCTGTCATTCGGTGCACAGAGCCTGGCATCACGTGGGCGCTTCTTTCTAAGTGTCACTGGAGATCGTGGACTAACAGTGTTCCACCGTCCCACGGTTACTGGATCCCCATTGTCTTCAGCTCTCACCAGATTAGATAACTAGTCACAAATACTCATTTTCTACAGGGGTGTGTTGCCTACAAGCACTTTCGTAACCAGTTACTATGATGGCCATTGTTTAATTGCAGACCACAGAATCCACTCAGACTGTTTAAAGCAGGAAAGAATGTATTAAGTGAATTAGCCTTCAGAATTTCTGGGAGGGTATGGGTATCAACTTTCAGTGCCAGGCTGCCAAGAGAAATGCCTTCCACTGCACTGAAATCTTTTCAGCAAAAATTCCTCTGGGACTATAGTGTGTTACAGTGTGTTACATTTTGGTTGAACACATCATATGCATATATGTGTGTGTGTAAATATATATATGGTTAAATACATTAGTAATTTGTATTGTCTGTGAATAAAGGAATTAAATGGATCGTATTTTAAAATGTTATATTTATTTTAGTTATTTGGGACTTAGAACTATTTTTCCTTAGAATCTCTTTTATAAATTCTGGTTCCATTCTTCAGTTCATCTTAAAAAGCCTGCATAACCCATACTGTATCAGAAATGCAAAAGAGCCCTCACCCAAAGACAGCATTCCAGAAGTTTGGAAGCATGCTGTCTTTTGAAAGATTGCACAAAAATTAGACTGCTTAAGTTAAGAATTGTGGGTATGCCCAACCCAAAGAAAGTTAAGTACACAGACTGTACGATTGCCAGTTACGTAGGTTAGAGAGTCCAAAGAGCCCATTAGCTCCTGTGGGGTGCTTCCTGGACGTCTATGCCCACTGAGGCTGTGGCTGTCTCGGCGACTCCACTGTGGGTTCTGAGAAGGTGTTGCTGTGGGAGGAGGGGAAGGAGCCCTACTGCCCAGCTTCCTGTTCCCCATTGAAATTGATCAGAGGTGGGGTAATGGACACGGGTGGGGACAGGGGCCTGTGGTGAGGTAGCCCGGACAGAAGTAGCATGGGTGATGAGCTGCATGTGCACTGTGGGCCTGTGAGAATCACACCCACGCCTGTGCAGCAGGTGCTTTTTAATTTCTAAGGTGAACGGACCATCTGGAAGCACATAAGTCTTGTGATGCAAGTTTTATCTGTGAGGTAAGATGTAGTTTGGTTAAGAGGCAGACGTTTAACCGTATCTATGAAATTGTATCCCCTTCCTTCTTTTATAACTGTCTCAGCAATCCCAGGCTCCCTGAGCATACCATTTGCCATTGGATAGAAGTGAATCAAAGGTGTCGCTCTAACAAATGGTCCCAGTGGTGACAGCCAGATCGGGGAGCACGGCAATCGGTAGCCAAATGAGTCCCCAGTATCATGAAGGACACCCTTGCCTAGTGCCTGTCCTGAGGATTCTGGGTGCCAGGAAAGCAGCATTCACCTCTGACTTCTTATCCTCTCTCACTTGTACTGCATTTATTTTTATTGTTCCCTTCTTATTCAGCGTGTGTCCTCAATGTATGAAATAACCAGGTTGTTTCAAACTCTGACAATAAAATTTTGGGTCATGTGCAGTAAAAGATGTTCATGTCCTTAAAAAATAGCAATTTTGTTCTTTCTGTTGTTATTTCTAGGCAGAGGGAATCCTCAGGCAAGAGCTGAAGAAAAAAGAAACGCCAAGTTTGTACTGTTTGCTTGGAGACGTCCTCCGAGACCACTCGTACTACGACAAGGCCTGGCAGCTGTCCCGGCACCGCAGCGCGCGCGCCCAGCGCTCCAAGGGCCTCCTGCACCTGCGGAACAAGGAATTTAAGGAGTGCGTGGAGTGCTTCGAGCGCTCGGTCAAGATTAATCCCATGCAGGTTAGACAGTTCATGAGACCTATCTGCTCTCGGCACTAACGTTTTTCTTTGATTTTGATTCTTACTGAACGAGTACCATTTTCTGTCCTAACGGTTGGTGAGCGTGTCCTTGAGAACTAAGAGCCTCGTCTCTGGTAAACTTCTTGCTTGTCACCGAAAGTAGATGGGTATGGGCAGGCTTCCCCTTGTTCACTTTCTGTCATGTTTCTCTGAGCGACTTTTCTTTCTGTTACTTACTTCTGTTTGTCATCCATAAGGCAAATACAGATATTACAATTAAGTTCCATTTTCAAAAGACATGTTCGGAAGGAAAAGCATCAGAAGTAAAATTAGAGACAGTACAGGACTCTACAAGTAATCGCTGAAACAAAAGTGAAAGAAACGCTTTTATGGAAATAGGGTAACGTAGAGTGGGTTGTTGATCGTCGTAAGAACTGTTTAGCAAGCATTTGCTATGAGCCAGGCACCTCATTGGACGCTTGGCCAGTATTTGAACCCAGATGGTGTGAGTCCAGAGCTTGTACTCCTTTTTGTTTTAATTGTGGAGAAAGCACATCACATAAAATTTTCTGTCTTAACCATTTCTGAGTGCACAGTCCAGCAGTGTTAAGTACGTTCGCATTGCTGTGCAAGTGTCGCCCCACCTGTCTTCGCAACCTTTTTCATCTGCAAAACTGAACCATGAAACAGTAACTCCTGACTGCTCCCCCCCCCCCGCCCCCGCCCAGTGGCTGGCAGTCATTCCGCCTTCTCTCTCTGAATTTGACTACTTTCAGTGCCTCACATGCGTGGAGTCACACAGTGTATTTGCTTTTGTGACGACACAATGTCCGTAAGATTCATCTGTGTTGGGCTGTGTGTCAGAATTCCCTTCCTTTTTAAGGCTGAATTCCAGCATCTGGATGGACTGCATTTCGTTTATCCATTCACCTGTCAGCAGACACTTGGGTTGCTTCAACCTCTTGGCTACTGTGAAGAATGCTCCTATGAACATGAGTATGCAGAAATGATCATTCGGGAACTTGGTCGACTTAACGCATGTCTTCTACATTGAAAAAAGAGCAGAAGTACATTTTTTTTTAAATGACAGGTTAAGCCAATTACTCACTTTCCTCACTCTGAGCAGTGACTGCCTTCCAAGTCAGCCGGCTGGTAAACAGCCTGGAGAAGAGAGTAGGACAGGTGTAAACATAGAATATCGTCAAAATTAGCAGTTGCTCTGGCAGCAAGGATGCTTAGAGCGTGCTTAGGACTGGCTTTTGTTGACAGCTTGCTTTAAGCCAATGGTTCTCAGCTGGGGATGCTTTTGCCCCCAAGGGTATTTGGCAGTGGGGGCCAGTGTGCTTCTGGTCCCTCCTGACATGGTATAGAACGAGCCAGCCTGAAACGTCGTCATGACAAGGTTGAGAAATCCTGCACTAAGTTGATTATAACTAGACTTTTTTTTTTTTTTGGTAGAAAATAGAGCTCAATATTGTGTTATTAAACTTTACTTGTACTTTTATGGAAAACTGTATCATATCCTTGCTTATCTTAGTAGCCTCTGCCTGTTACCTAACCGCAGCTGGCATAAAAGTGGGGAAAATAAATCCCTCCCGTAGCCTCCCAGAGGCTAAGTTAGGTCAGTGCCAGGCACCTCACAGACTTGCAGTGTTCTCTCAAGCACTGTCTCTGTTCAACACCCGAGCGTTCGCACTTCTCTCCTGCCCCACTGGCTGTTTCTTCTCGGTCTTCTTGGATGGTTCCTAGGTGCGCCCTGTGGCCCAGTCCTTTGGCCTTCACTGTCTACACTGGCTCCCTTCGTTCATCTAGTTCAGAGCTTGTAATAGCATCTTTACATTAACAACTCCCTAAGGTTTATTTTCAGTCCAGCCTTCTCCCTGAACTCTAGACTCCTGTATATAACTGCTTCTCCAGTTTGTTACTTTGCCTTACATTTCTAATACAAAACACTGTCCTCTCCCTCCTAGAAGCTTGCCCTGCCAAAGTCGCCCCATTCCGTCCTAGAGTCATCCAAGCCATCAGTAAACCCTGGCAGGGCTACCTTCCATATACACCTACAATCAGACAGCTCCTTACCACCTGCCAGCATTCTCATTCAAATTCCTACTCACTCTCACCTATTTAATATATTGTCTCCTAACAGAAGGACACTGGTCTTTCTGTCTCTGTCCTTGTCCCCAGCTGCCTGTTCACTGAACATCCAAATCAGTCTTGTCAGATGTGTTGTTCCTCTGCTCCATCGTCTGGTGACAGAAGCCAGAGTCCCTTAGTGGTTCTCAGGCTTTCCCCAGCTTGGCCCCTGTTGCCTCTTTCCCTCCTCTCCTCCCACCCCCCCTCACTCGCCCCACATTAGGCTCTTCATTCTCCCCTGAGTATTTCAGGCACATTCCTGCCTCCGGATTTTAGCACCTGCACTTCCTTTGCCTGGAGTGCTCTTCTCCCAGCTCTCTGTGTACCTTGCTCCATGGCGTCCTGCAGGTCTTTGCTCAGATATCACTTTCTCGGAGAGACCTTCAGTGATCGTGCTGCACCCCCACCATATACTCCTTATTTCCTTCCCTGCCTTTTGTTTCTTCATAGCACTCAGAACCTTCTAATATTATGTATAGCTTACATTAAAGAAATTCCTTTTCTCCTCCACTGGGAGTAAATCCCATGGAGGCAGAGATTTTTATCTTTAAGTTCTATTTGTATTTTTTAGTGCTGTAACACTACCTATTGCATATTCAGTATTCAATAAATACGTGTTGAGTTAATGAATAAATAATATGTTTAACCAATTATTCATTCAAATATATGCTAATTGTCTAGTGTGTGCATGGCATTGAGCCAAAGGTGAAGCAGGAGCAGCAGATCACTGGACAGTTCAGTGCGTGCCCTTTGGTACAACCTAGTGGAATGAACACAGATAAAACTAACCAATAACATGGGGCATCAAAGAAATACCAAATGAGTTACCTGTAAAGCACTAGTTACAGAGAAGCCAAAGAGGATATTTCTGTCTTTGGTAGACATTGGCGAGCATGTTGGATTTGCTTTGAAGGACAATGGTTACTTAAAGAGGCCAGGGGAAGGGCAGTGTTGAGGGCGCCCAGGCAGGTGAGCAGTATGAGCAGAACCCTAGAAACAGAAGAAGAAGGGGTGTGGGTGTGTTTGTGCATTGTGGGGACAGAGGGGTGCGTGAGTAGGCTAGATTTTAGAGTCAAAGGGAGTAGAGCAGCAGGAAAGCCAGACTGGAGCCGGATTATGAAGGGTCTTAAATGTGAGGCTGAAGTCTTTGACTTTTTATTTGGCCCGTGGGGGGCCGTTGAGGATGGATTTGCACTTGGCTTTGTTTTGCATGGAGGAATGTGGTGTGCATGGAGGCGATTTAGGAATTTTGTTTTGGCAACACGGTGGCCATGGAAGATGCTAGATGTAGGCAGCGTTAGGAGACTGTAGCAAGAGTCTGGCATGATGGTTATCAGCATGGAAGGAGCATTAGGGAAGAAGGGATGGATGTGAGGGAATTTGCATAGGAGGATTTGACATGGCTTAGTGGCCTCATTATATAATTTTGAATTAATTACTTAGCAAGACAAAAAAACGACTTGTTCAAAGCAGTGCAAACAGATGTTATGTGAGGGTATTTGCAGTCTGCCATGTGGATCTGATTCAGGCCGGCAGTAAGGCATGCCAAAACGCGCAGCATTTATGCTGCAGTTGTGCAGAACGACTGCGAGAGGCGAGCTCGAGCACCGCAGCCTCGTCAGGACAGCGGTCCGAGTCTGAACTGTCTCTGCAGAGGGAGAGCTCCTGCGCGCTGTGATCTCTGCTCAGCCCCAGAATACCAGGAAAACAGAAGAACTGAATTGAAAACATTCTACCCTCTTTTCTCACACTTGCCTGCAATTAGATTTAATAACAAAATTTAGGCAAAACCAGAGTGATGTCTGAATGGCTTTTATGCATTGTAACGACTTTCTGAAATCAAACTGGTATGAAGATACGAGTGTTTGGGATGGTCTGCAAAACGAAATGCATCGCCTTATGGTGCATCTGTGGGAGAACCAGAAGATGTGTGTGACATTCCTGGCATGTGTGCTTCTGGGATTGCTGGCTGCCACGCACTCACAGATTCACCAGGGAAATGTCAGTGACGTGATGATAGAATTAGATGCGACTGAGGAGCCTATTAAACTATGTGAATACCTAAGCTAAATTAAAGTAATGTTAATTCTGTGATATATTGCAAAAATGTGCAAATATCATAAATGTATAGCTTGATTAATGTTCCTTTTATTTGTAAATGTTCTGGTAGTCAGCATTTAAAATTTTTTATTTTTATACAGTGTTTTTATTTTTCAAAAATAAATTTACTTTTGAAACTAGTTTTAAAATATAATGATCTTATAGATCCCTGATACAGTAAAACCAATTTGTTGATCAACAATTTGCTGGCCAATAAATTTTTTTTTTTAAGAAAAATTTTTTTAGGTTATTTATTTTTAGACAGAGGGGGAAGGGAGGGAGAGAAGGAAAGAACATCAATGTGTGGTTGCCTCTCACACACTGCCCACTGGGGACCTGGCCAGCAACCCAGGCATGGCCATGACTGGGAATCGAACCAGCGACCCTTGGTTTGCAGGCCGGGACTCAGCCCACTGAGCTACACCAGCCAGGGCAATAAGGTCTTTTTAAAAATCATATAATTTTAATTCTTTTTAATGTCCGATTCACTTTAAAAATTGTTGCAGTTTGAACAGTACATTATGTGGTTGCTTAACTGAGTGTTATCGAGGTCCTTCTGTGTCCCTGGCATGGGTGTGAGAATGAGCGAGGCTGTGTCAGCCTATGAGCAGGGCGCAGAGCTTCTGTGGGAAGATGATGGGGCAGAACTAGTTGGCGATGGGCTGGAAGTGCCTTTCTTCAGGGTTATCTCGCCCTCTCGGCGTGGAAGTCTGTTGTGGTTTTGAGTACAAGTGTGATAGGTCCTCAGTGGTGTTATGGGAAGTCTA